TGCGGGCGGCAGCGCTTTGGCTTTGCTTCTCAGGCGCCAGGATAGCACAAGGAACTTCGTCGTAGCGCACAGAGTGACATGCCACAGCACAGTGCCTGATGCTCTGCTGGATGCAGGCACGGGCGCCACAGATCCACGAAATCCCGGCGTAGGAACCCCTGGTGAAACGTGGAAAAGTGTGGAAGGTAAGAAGATTCCTGGAGTCGTCCTGGAGTCGTCTGGAGTTGTCCTGGAGGTTCCTAAATCTGGCGTGAGACCACTTGAGACCACTGTGCAGCAAAATTTTTGACGTGAGCCTTGCCGTGCTAAGGGAACCATGTCATTCGCCTGGCTGTGGGGGTCTTATGACATTGGTAGCTTACACAATGCCACGTTGCGACGTTGAGATTCCAGAACGTTGTTGAAAGGCATCTATTGAAGTCATTGCTTAAGCAGACATTTGAACTTAAATTCGAATACCCTTGAAGATCATCAGCATCGGCAGCAACAATGTTTAAGTCTTCCCAAAAAGGATGCGCTCAACTTCAACAACAAATTTTGCATCTTGATTTCTTCTTCTCTGGATACTTTTTTTGATCTCTTTGATCTCTTTTATATTTCAGCACAAAACCTCCCAAGATGGGTACAATGTACATTACCTGCTAGATGACCATTCAGGCGCCTCAAAACATTGCTGCCAAGCCTGAAAAGGAGAGTTGCAGCTGTGCAGAGTTCAACTTTTTCTCTGAAACCTGTTCAAAGTCAGGTGAATGCGCGATCCAGTTTTGAATGTACATAATGCATCACGATGCATGGTAATGTCGTAATGTCATTGTATGCCACTGTTGCAACAGGTTGTAACGATTGTAACGGTTGTAACAGACATGTCTCAGATGAGGAGATGAAGTCAACCGAGTCAACGGAGTCAACGGAGGATGCTTTCCCTCAAATTCCCATGCCAGTGGCCTGGTCCTCAGAGGCATTGAATGGCATTGATATGTGGACGTTGTATGACGTTGTGCCACGTTGTGCCACCTGCGCCATTGCGCCATGGGTGATGAGTCAAGTGATGAGTGATTTTTTCCTCGCAGGTGGCAGGCGCTTTGGCTACACTGGCAGTCGAAGCCTCAGAATGGCGCTTTGTGCACTCGGATGTGGCGCATGAGCCCTTGCTGGATGTGACGGAGGTTGTTGCCTCAAATCCAGCAATGGCTCAAGAGGCGCAACCAGCGATGTTGTCATCTTAGATCATCTACGGTTCATTTAGGATGTGCCGGATGTGCGTGTGTTCAGGGTACTTCCAGATTGTGGACTTCCTGCGCTTGCAATGTTTGTTCAAGTGATTTTCCCTGCTTTCTGCACTTTCCGGCTTTCTTTCCCTTTTCTCCATAACCCCTTGCCATGCTCCCTTTGACTCTGAATTGTCTTGACCCATTCGCTCCGTCTGCGTCTATGTGTTCCTATGTGACGTGAAGGTAGCCGACGCTGCGGCCGATGTCGCAAGAGCCGTCCTTAATTAATTTGTGTCCCGAGTCCGAAGCCTTCTGTGGTCCTCTGTTCCTATTATTAAAATACTTTTCACTACTTTTGCATCTTTTCCTCAGTGCCAGGCTGTTAGGTGTAGTCCGGGTCCATCCTGAGGTGCAGCAGAAGATGTAGAGGAGGACGGGCACTTTGCAGTTTGTCAACAGCTTGAACACTATTGAACACTTATGATTTCATATCCTTTCTGTGTTCCAGCCGGTGGCAGTTTCTAGAATGACTAGTGGCGACCTGTCGTTTATCCAGATAGATGTCTCGTGACCGAGAATGTCATGCATCGCTGGCCTATGCTGGCCTTGGCACTTGATCCACTCGAAAAACCAGGTTGTTGGTGACGTCGCACAGGGCAGTGGAGACTGGTCACCGAGACACATTTGTGCAGCTGAAAAGCTGATTTGCCTATCGATTGTCATTTGAAGTGCGCTTACAAAACGTACAAATATTTATAAACACTGGAACATGTTGGAACTTCAAATGACGCGGCTTGGTTTGGCCTGTGGCTTCTTCTGACAATCGCCAGGTTCGAGCCCCTCATCCAATTCAATGCTGGCATCATTGCTGGAATTGATGGTGTCTGTTGCCAAGATGAATCAGTTACTGTAAAACTTTGTGTAAAGATGTGCAAAGACTGTACACATCTGTATGCCTTACAACTTTTTGGGACTCGCAGTATCTCGCAGTTCAGATGCTTCCCAGTCAAATGCAAGGTCATCGAAGACCAACTCCACATCCCTAACAGCTTTGGCAGGATGCTCAGTGACCCTCTGACACCGTGCATTTGAACAGTTTGAACAGGACACACCTATTCACACCTCACCTGACACGATTTGGATTGAGATCAGCCCAAGGCTTTGCCATCATCGGCTACACTCTCCTCATCAAGGCGGATCTGGAGCAATGACATTCGAGCGAACAGAAGTTATTATATGTTTTTTTTTAGTTTTTTTTTAACAGTTTACAGACTGTTTACAGTGTACAGTACCATACAGTACTTATTTCATCGTATTTCGATCTATTAGAGCATGCCTGAAAAGTACCCGATTCTGTGACTCTGAGGTGCTCACCTACCCTTTGAATCAATCAGCTCTCCGGTCCTGATCGCACTTTGGTCCTGATCACGTTCGACTCGTTTCAGTCCTTGAGGATCTGGTGCTATTATGCAGCTGATCAGACCGAAGGTCGATCAAGTTCAGCGCAAATACAAGAATGATCAGGACAGTGCGCAGATGCACACGGTGAAATATCGTTATCGCATGCGTGATCACCGTGATGGAGCATTCTGGATAATTACTCCGGACATTATGATCGACTTTGCCCAAATTTGCATCACGAACTACCGTAAGCCTCGTAAGCATCACGATACAGGAGACGCAAAATCGTATGCTTCTCCGACTCTATGATGACTGCGGTGTGAATCCTCTTGGTGGGTGAGTGGCCTGGAGGGCTGTGTCAAGTCCTTGCCCAAGTAGGTATCTCCGTCAGTGACGTCTGAGGTGTATTCCATCCTTGGCGCAGTTCCCAATCTTCATTGCGCTTTACCGATCCATCCTGAAGTTGTCGCAGATCAATCCAAAATTTCAGGCACACACCGTGTTGGATGGAAAACACGACTATTTGTGTGTCTTTCGGACAGAGAAGCAATCAAAAAGTCATGCATGATGTCAGAGGTCAGAGATTCTTAAAGCACGCAACATTGCGAATCGCAAAAAAAGAACAAGGCATTGACATGCATTGACTTTGACAGTTAAGTGGATTGAAATGCTCAGTGGCTCAGTGGCCAGTTGTGAAGACAGGAGCCGTTTCTTTGGATTCCAAGCCTGGCTGGACCTTCTGCTGGCGGCCCGAGCTTGGACCGATGGGTTGCACTGCAAACACCCCGTGACACGTTTAGCAGTCTGGGTCGACTTCTCTTTTTCTTGGCTGTATTCGATGAAGTATTTGAATGTATTTGAATTAGATGGCAAAATAGTTCTAAAATTCTAAAAAGTTCCAACTACTTTGTTAGTCTGAGTCAATGTTTGTCGTCTGCTTAATTTTGTGTAGCTGGGATGCAGGACTGGCTCATCAAGTCCCAGTCAGAGACCGAATTCATTCCGCTAATTGGATGGTGGAAGGCTTAGCATTGTGGAGTACAGCATGCTGGGTCGAAATGGGTCGAATGTGTCTTGCAGATAAATGGCTGGACGGATCTTGACGGAGAACGCTGAGCAAGTCGCTCCCAAGGGATGAGGCTGCACGCTACTGCGTCCTCCCTGTCCTCCTGATCGGCAGCGAAATCCTCAGATGCTGAAGTTAGTGGAGACGATCATACTCGTAGCATAGCAATAGCTGCATACACTGCATAGCATCTTCTTTATTTCATAGGATTGGCCTTAGGATGGTCTTGGCATCATGCAGCTAAGATTCAGCAAGTACAAACTTTCTGGTACCTTTTGGAATCCAATCAGCTCAATTTGCTTCTTGGAATGCCATATTTTGTAAGCCTTGTAAGCAGTGTTGCTGCGCATCAACCAAACATGTAGCTCGGATGGTAGGATGGGGTGGTTGAAGTATGTTGAAGTATTCTTCAGGACCTCTTGACTCTTGTCCTTCAAAGTGCAGATCAACCTGTGATTCTCCTGAAAGCTTCTTACTATGGTGTGCTGAGGCCAGATCATCACCCAAAAGGTCAGCCAACCAGATGTTGGCAATCAGTTTGGACCTTATCTTCCGAACTTTCGGTGCCAGACAAAGGGTTTTTCAGCAAGTCACATTCAACATAGCTGCTTACCACAGGGGTGGCCCAGCTGCGATCATCTCCAACATTGTCCCGTACGCCTTGCTTCGCATTGCCAATATCATGAAACATTGCTTGCGTGCTCCCCTACTGGCTCCTTCGCCAGACTGGTCATTGGATACACGGGCCTTGTTAGCCCTGCCGGCTTGGGAGTTTACTGGAGATGACCTTAGAATCTGTTCGAGCTGGGAAATATGCCACGCAACACACCAGATGCAGCATTGCATTGGCCTTCGAGCAAAAAGTTGTCTTTTATTTGAGCTAAGGTTGTGCAATAACCTTGTGACGCAAGCCCAGACGTATCTTATTCGAAGCCAGCTTGGGGAGGCTGCGAACCAAGCATCCCATTCAAAATATCCTCACCGACAGCTTGTATTTCAGATATGATGATACATGGACACATCATAACAATTCCACAATTCAAATTTGGACATTTGGGCACTCTAGTGACTCTAGTGACTCTAGTGTAGTCTTGCTGCATTTGCGGACATTTGAATTGACGAGGAGTTTCCCGAATACAAAAAGTACCTTGATGGCTCTGCTCAGCGAGAAGAGGAGGAGGCTAAGAAGGCCAAGGAGGAGGCCGGGCTTTGGGCCAAAGCCTCTACAGATACGACAGATATTCAAAAGCCCAAGGGCCCAAGGCATGGAGTCTTAGAATAAACTTAGAATGTCATGAATATATTAGAGTTGCAAAGAAAACTATTCGGACCTCAGGTCGTCTAATGTATTTTTTCTGCTGGTGTGTAGTGATTGTTCCAGCCCGATTCCCGCCGAGTGCTAGGCAGTTGAAGAGGAGGAGATTGGTGGGCCTGGCGTAGGCTTCGGCGTCGCCGGAAGCCTAGGAACTTCAAGAGCTTCGATTGATCACGGTTTGACGATGTTCGAAGATGGAGTGCTGAATCCTCCGGCGGTCCAAGGATGCAACTGATCAGGAAGAGGAGCACAGTGTACGGTGGGAGGGTGAAATGAGCACACAGAACTCGATGTTACTGCCTTTCCAAATGTCCGGTACAATGTTCTTGACTTGACTCGCATCTTGATGTTGAAGGTGCGTCTTGAGTGGCGCCCATCGCATATAACACAGTTTTTACATGTTTTTATTCATATCCTATGATTTGATAATTGTATAACATTATTGCTGTTTTACCAGCACGCCAGCTCGCTTTTTCCATCGTTGACCTATTTCCATCGTTGACCTATTTCCATCGTTGACCTATTTCCATAGTTGACATCATTTGCTGTTGTTGTTGTTGTTGCTTTCTCCCAATGTGTGTCGTTTTTCCCCGAAAGTTGGCAAGCTACTTACTTGTCATTGATTGGGTGCTCGGTGGTGAACTTTGATGCCATCCAGCTGTGCGGGTGCTGCGCAGGGTGGTGTGCAGAATGGTGCGAAGGGTTCTGTGCAGGGTTTGGGGAAATCTTCATCTTCATGTTCATGCCTACGGCTTCAAAACCGTACGTGCGTTTTGCTACTTTTTTGATGATTGCTCTTTGTCTTGGGGTTGGGGTGGGGTGGGGGGGGTGGGGTGGGGTATTAACGTCATGTGCAGAGTGCGTGGAACACGCTCTTGCCTAACATCACTTGCGTAGCACGCTCTGGATGTTACGCTCTGTCTTTTGCCTAGCCACTTCTGACACGCTCTGCATGCCACGCTCTGCACTGTTTCCATGTGACTTCTAACACGCTCTGCATGTCACGCTCTGCACTGTTTCAATGTGACTTCTAACACGCTCTGCATGTCACGCTCTGCACTGTTTCCACTTGACTTCTAACACGCTCTGGATGTTACGCTCTGGATGTTGCGCTCTGCACTGTTTCCACTTGACTTCTAACACGCTCTGGATGTTACGCACTGCACACAGGGAAGATTGACTCTCTGTGGAATTTGGCTTAAAAAAATGTGCCTAGCAATTTGCAGACAAAAGCAGGGCAGAACAAAGATGTCATGCTGTACCTGCATTGCTGGCAATGGCGTTATGAGTGCCATAATGGCAACTTGCTGTCGAAGACAGCTTCCAAACTGATGGATCGCTGAGCCGACGATGGGTGTTAAAAAAACTCGTCAAATCCACGTCTGATGCACATGGTATTTACAAGGATTTGTCAAAATTCAATAGATTTTGAAGCCACTTTTTTCACCAAAATTGAGTTATCAAAAGAGTTCGGAACAGCATTTTATATTGAAAATTGCAGGTGATTCTGACGGTCCTATTCAGCAAACCCTCAAAACGCTCGCGCGGTTTCGCATCCGCTGGGATGTTCATCACCACCACCACCAGCATCAGCATCATCATCATCATCATCATCACCATCATCATCACCACCATCATCATCATCATTATCACGAAAGACAGCTTGCTAGCTGGAGTTGGATTTGCTTTGGTAATCAGACTGGACGCAGCTGCCATGTTTTTTCCTGTTGAACTTGTTTTGGGCCCTCCCTTGTTTCCTCAGGCTCAAACCCCGCCGCGTCCATCCGGCTGGGTTTCATCCCGCTGGGTTTCATCTGTGACCACGCGTTTGCATGCCCACGCACACGCATATACAAGATGATATTCATTGCGAGTGTTGTGAATGTAATGCAATCTAATTTAATGTAATGCGATCTAATCTTGTGTAACGCAATCTAATCTAAAGTAATCCAACGTAATGGAATCTAACCTAAAGCAATCTAATCCAACCTAATGTAACGTAACCTAATGACATGTAACCTACTCCAATCTCATGTAATGGAATCTAATCTATCGCAACCTGATCTAACCTCATGTAACGTAACCTAATGCAATGTAACCTACTCCAATCTAATGTAATGGAATCTAATCTATCGCAACCTGATCTAACCTAATGTAACGTAACCTAATGTAATGTAACCTACTCCAATCTAATGTAATGTAGCTGTAATGTAATGTAATGTAGTGTAGTGTAATGCAATGTAATGTAATGTAATGAAAGAACAACCAATTGGAGTCTTGCACTCCGTTGAGTGAGAGGTCTGCGTGAAAATATGATCCGGTCTTGGCGAGGAATGGAAGATGCGCATCGTAAGATTGCCAAACATTTCTTGCTTGATATATGTATGCACCAAAGTTACCCCATTCAAAGACTGAGTTATTCACGAAAGCTAGCGTCAGCTAGCTGGAGTCTTCTTGCTTTAGCAAGTATTCCGGGGGCTGCTCAAGGACATCACGTGATTTTTCACGCGAAAGGCCCCACCCCCCAACCCCACCACCATCACCATCATCAGCATCATCGTCATCATCGTCATCATCGTCATCGTCGTCCTCATCGGTTTCGTCATCGTCATGGTCATTGGCATCGTTCTCGTCATCGTGATCATCATCATCATCATCATCATCATCATCATCATCATCATCATCATCATCATCATCATGAGCATCATCATCATCATCATCATCATCTCCTCATCCTTATCATCCTCCTCCTCATCATCATCCCGATCATCTGCCGCATCCGCTTCATCATCATCATCATCATCATCACCATCATCATCATCAACATCATCATCACCACCATCATCATCATCATCATGAGCATCATCATCATCACCATCATCATCATCACCATCATCATCATCGTCGTCATCATCATCATCGTCCTCATCATCATCACCATCATCATCATCGTCGTCATCATCATCATCGTCCTCATCATCATCACCATCATCATCATCATCATCATCACCATCCTCATTGTCAGTGTCATTGTCTTCGCCATTGCCATCGTCATCGTCATTGTCATCGTCACCGTCATTGTCATTTTCAGCCGTCATCGTCGTTGTCAGCGTCATTGTCATCGTCACCAACTTTGTTTTCATCATCATCATCATCATCATCATCATCACCATCCTCATCATCATCGTCATCATCGGCATCAGGTTCGATCCCCCCTGGTCCCCCCCCGAGCCTTCCCGAGAGGAGATTTCCGGCTGGTAGAGGGTCAGCATCCTCACTTAGGGTTTGACGCGGAAACGCCACCGACATTTCCCTGCTGACACTGAAGCTACGTCTTCCCTTCCTTCTTTCTCCTACCCCGCTAGCTTTCGTCAGCCACCCCCGGCCTCAAGTTGTATAATGGATATATATATATACAGATACTTAGATATATTCGTCATAGACATATACGGAGATAAAATATTCATGATAGACACACACACACACACATATATATATACACACAAAATATATACATATATTTTACGCCACGGACAGGAACAAGGAAGGAAAGGCCGGGGGAAAGAGGTCCAACCAGATGGTTGCAAAGTGGCCCAACCGAAGCGTGTTCGGTTGGAACACTTTGTATTTGGCAAGTAAAGTGCTAGGAGCATAATGTTGACGCTGATATGCTAGGATGTCAGGGGGAGGGTTGTGGAATGATGATGTTGCGTGCGAGCTAGAATGTTACGATACGCTGCTGTTAGCCTGTCAGCAACATTGAATGGTAGCGTATTTCAATGCAAAAGCTGACACTCAAAGGGTCGCCCCACATATTCTCTCAATACACATCTCTCCTTGCCCAACTAGCTTTCGCCCCTTCTCTTTGGCCTCAAGTCGTCATCATCATCATCACCACCACCGCCACCGCCACCACGACCACGACCACAACCACGACACACAATTTGCACACGTGTCTCCTGATCAAAGCACAGCAATTGCACAATGCTCAGGAGACAAAGGCAAAGACCGAAGACTCCGAAGAGAAGGCCGGACACTTAGAGACAGTGCCATGCCCAAAACAGACGTGGCAGACGCTTCTATGGTTGTCTGGAAGATAGCTATGAGACAGATCCTGTTAGATCTGTTAGCTTGACAAGTCTCTTGATGCATATGGAAGCGGTCCTTTTCCGCTCAACTTGATACTTGACACAACTTAGGTAGGATCAAACATGTTTGGATCAGGGTGAAAATCGCCATTGGAGGTATAAAAGCTTCACAAATACAAGCACATAATCAAGTGATGCTTCCTGCATTTCAACTCGTGCAGGGGACAAACAATGTAGACCGATGTAGACCCGTGACACACCTTCAGGTGCTTGCAACGGAGCCAGCCCGACCAATGCGAAGGTTGAGCACAGAGGTGCCTGGCTAGACTTGGTTGTTTGTAGCTGCTTCATTGCTGCGTTGTTGCTGCCTTAGGCTTTCTCTGCGCTTTCTCATTTTTGTCTTTCTCTTGCAAATTGGCTCCAGGCCAGACCAAGACGTAGGCGCTCGCGACGATAAGTGCGGACGCAGCTTGCAAGGGTGTGAGTCTTACTCCCATCTAGTGGAGCGAGGGTGGTGTGTTGCTACTGGTGTTGCTACTGGTGTTTGTCGCTTCTTGCTATGCATGCTCACGCTGCTCACACCCGACCGATAAATGTTCACACAAAACTGCGCTGACTTGAAAAAACTGAGAGTGATAGATATGAATAGATATGAATAGATATGAATAGATATGAATAGATATGAATAGATATGAATAGATAGATGGACGGATGGATGGATCAATAGATGTAAGGGAGAGAGGGAGAGAGAGAGAGAGAGAGAGTCAGAGAGAGAGAGAGAGAGAGTCAGAGAGAGAGAGAGAGAGTCAGAGAGAGAGAGAGAGAGAGTCAGAGAGAGAGAGAGAGTCAGAGAGAGAGAGAGAGAGCGAGAGCGAGAGCGAGAGCGAGAGAGAGAGAGAGAGAGAGGGAGAGGGAGAGA